TAGGATTTAGGGTTTAGGATTTCAGGTTTCGGCTTTGGGGCTGGGGCCCAGGACTTGCCAAAGGTTCCGGGATCGCAAGCCCCTCAACCCGAAACCTAGGGCGAAGTAAGTGGCAAATCCAGCCGCATGAGGGGCCATAAGGCTTGGGGTTTAGGGTTCAGGGGGAAAGGGTTTAGGGTTTGGGGTTTGGGGTTTAGGGTTCAGGGTTTAGGGTTTAGGGGGAAAGGAGTCCTCTGTGATCCACTTCGGCATCAGGAAGTAGGAGTGGAGCCAACGGTCTTCCAGGGAAGTGACCATCGTGACAATGTTTCCGACAGGCTCCTGATCACAACATGCGGTTTTGGGTTTGTCTGGGATTCAGGTCCTTGTTCCACAGAGAGGTTGTAAAGATTTATGTGAAGCTTTAGAGCCAGTTTAGGGCACGTTAAGCAATGCAGCTTGCTGGGACTTCTATGACTTCTGCTGTGCGGTCCTGAAAGCGCATGTGGAAGTGTGTGACTGTTTCGTCCCGAACTAATTAAGTGCGCGTTGATGGCCTCGTCAAGAGTTCAGCTGCCAATGTACAAGGAACGACGAAACAAAACAGACTAGTCGTGGTGACAGTGTACGGTCATGACGATCACCATCGTCATCATCATCATGCTCTTCATCACCACCATCCACATCCTGCTTTGTGGTCATATGTGGGTTCTGGCAGTGATGTGATCATCTTCTTCTTCATGGTCATGATGAAGATAAAGATGCAGAATTTTGAACCTGAAACTTTCAACGTGTGTCTCAGAGCTCCTGCCAGTTGATGCGAACCAAGCCTTTCCCGAGGGCGGTCATGCAAACCTCACGATTCGTGACCCACCGGCCAGCAACGAGACCGCTGTGGATGCGGTAGTGGATCATTTCCTGAGGTAGGGAAACTGCACACACGGCATGCACAGGCTTGCGGGCACATGAAAAGAGAGCGTAAACCTAGACCCTGAACCTAAACGCTCAGAACCTAGATGCCAAGCCCTTCATGCACACAAAACCGACTGCCACAGCCCCTTGTCATCAGAGCAACGGTGCTTAAATCCTTGAAGGCTCGGCACTCTTGAAGTAGATCTCGTACTGCCAGCCGTTCTCATAAGTGTAGATGATATGCTTTCCCAGAACCTCGGAGAGGTCCTGGGATGCTACTTCGGAGCCCTGGATGCCCTGGGCTGCTGGCTATAAGGTGTAGGGCTTAGAGCCTTAAGCCGTGGCTTAGGACCTACTGCAGCGTTTGAACTGTTTCGGGTGCAGTGTTGAGGCTTTGGGATGTAGGGTTGGCAGTCTTAATCCTCCAGCCCTACACACAGACCATCTTTTACTAAGGCCATCTGGCATCCTGCTCGGGATACTTCACGAACCCTAAAGCCTAAACCCTAAACCCTAAACCCTAAACCTTAAACCGGCATCCTGCTCGGGATACTTCACGGATGGATCTGTCTTGGCTTTCTTCGCCTCGGGCATCCCGGCAGCTGCCATCGCGGCACGGGCTCCAGCCAGCCGGATCTAAAAAATAGATCCCCTAAGGGGGTTCCTATAAAGTACCCTTTAGTAGGTAGGGCCCCTAATTAGGGGATCTATTTTTTAGATCTTTTTGGGGGTCTGGGATGGTATCGTTACAAGCAGGATAAGCAGGGTGCCACAGGGATTCGAACCTCCGTGGGCTATGTGCGGATGTGACCCAGCTGCTTAAACCCAAAATCCCAAATCCCAAACCCTAAACCCCAAATCCCAAAAGGCCCTAAACCCCAAACCCTAAACCCAAAATCCCAAACCCCAAGCCCCAAATCCCAAAAGGCCCTAAACCCCAAACCCTAAACCCCAAACCCCAAAATCCCAAATCCCAAACCCCAAGCCCCAAATCCAAAAGGCCCTAAACCCCAAACCCTAAACCCTAAACCCCAAATCCCAAATCCCAAATCCCAAAAGGCCACCTGCAATTGACTGCTAAGCTTTCTCGAGAGAAGCCGAAGTCTGAGCCGGTGCTGCAGCCGGCAGAGGGCGAGACCTCCGGCGGGGATTTGGGCTTTGGATTTGGTTTACCAGTAAGGGTACCCCTACGGTCTAGGGTTTAGGGTTTAGGGTTTTAGGGTTTAGGGTTTATAGGGGTGGCTGATGTAGGGCCTTAAAAATTAGAATAGGGTTCTGGGGGTTCCTTCTTGTAACTGTAGTATCATATACCCCCGAAACCCTATTGCAATTATATATTCAAGCCCCTATAGTAGGGCTTTGGATTTGGGCTTTGGGATTTAGGGCTTAGGGCTTGTAGGGTTTAGGGTTTGGGGTTGAGGGTTTATAGGGTTTAGGGTTGAGGGCTTATAGGGTTTAGGGTTGAGGGTTCAGTGTTGTAGGGCTTAGGGTTTAGGGCTTATGGAGCTTATAGGGTTTAGGCTTTGGGGTTTAGTGTTTAGGGCTTGTAGGGTTTAGGGTCTGGGATTTGTGGTTTACAGTGTTTAGGGTGGATCGATGCTGTTGTCCGCAGGGTGCTTCGGTCCAAGGGCCTGGTGCGTGGGTTCTGGGATCTGTTGGTTCAGGGTTTTGAAGCTTACTTGGAGGTTCATGGGACTTAATAAGTACACTTATAAGTACCTTAACTGGGGTTATAAGTACTTACAAGTATAGTTACCTTATTTATAACCCTAGTTACTAAGTCCCATGAACCTTTAAGTAGGGTGCAGTGTTTGCCGTGTTAGGGGGGTGGGGGGGCGCAGGGCCTATAACTCCCGTTTCGGCCTTCATGCTTCGTAATTGCAGAATGTCAGCTTGGAGCTTCTAAACCCTAAACCCTAAACCCTAAACCCTAAACCCTAAACCTAAACGTGTGGCTTATGATTTAGGGATTTTTTGGCTTATAGGGTTCATAGAGTTTTTGGGGTTTTTGGTTTAAGGTTTAGGGTTTAGGGCAAGAAGAAGAAGCCCCAAACCCTAAATCCTCTGAAGTTCCGAGGTTGAAGCTCCTCGCTTTCGGGCTTGGGTTTAGGGTTTAGGGTTTAGGGTTTAGGGTTTAGGGTTTAGGGTTTAGGGCTTAGGACTTAGGGTCAAAGCTTCAGCGCCAGGCATCAGAGCACTTTGGGTTTCGGTGGCCTGCCACCTAAATCCTAAACCCTAAACCCTAAACCCCGAAGCCCCTGAACTTAAATCCTAAACCCCTAAACCCCTAAACCCCTAAACCCCAAAACTTAAACCCTAAACCCTCTAAAATTGCCTAAGCTCTACACCCTTGGGGGTGGGGGAGTAGGGCTTTGGGTTCGGCATGCCTTCGGGCGTCTAGGACTACACCTTAAAGAGGGTTTAGGGTTTAGGGTTTAATGGTTTAGGGTTTAGGATTTAGGGTTTAAGTTTAGGAGCTTTGGGTTTAGGGTCTAGTGGTTTAGGGGGCTTGAAGTTTCTCTAGGGTCTAAAGTTTAAGGTATAGGGTTTCGGGGTTTAGGGTTTAGGGTTGAGGGTTTGGGTTTTGGTGTTTAGGGCCTCGGGATGCTAGACCTTTTCACTCATGTAAAGCGAGACCCTTCCCTAAGGCTCGATGTACCAATTTGGTACATACTTAAGCCTCAGAGTAGTCCCTATACAGGTCCTTTAAAGCCTGAGTAAAAACTATTTGGGTACTTGGACCTAAACGCTTAACCGTTATGGTACCCTCAAAGAAGCCTTAAAGGCACCCTTAAAGAACCCTTAAAAGGCACCAGTGCCCCACACCCTAAACCCTAAACCCTGAACCTTAAACCCTAAACCCCAAACCCTAAACCCTAAACCCTGAACCTTAAACCCTAAACCCCAAACCCTAGAACCTTAAAGAACTAGTGGAACCTTAGACCCTAAACCCCAAACCCCAAACCCTAGACCCTTAAAGAACCAGTGGAACCTTAGAGCTCGCTGTGACTTGCCATGGCGCCGCTTCTCCCAACATCTGGTACAGCTGCGCTTGGGCTGCGGGGCGCCTGGGCGTCCACTTCTTTGGCTTAGGGTTCAGCGATTAGGGTTTAGGGTTTAGGGTTTAGGGTTTAGGGTTTAGGGCTAAACCCCAAACCCGAAAAACCAAACCCTACACCCTATAATAAGCCCTAAGCCCTATAAATCCACAGGCCTGAAAGCCTGAACCCTGAACACTAGACCTTAACCCCAATGCACCCTAAACCCTAAACCCTAAAACAGCATGCTTCATACAAGTCCCCAGGCACCGCGAAGCGGCGCGCAGTCGTTGCAGAAGATCTTACCTGGACGACTTGAAATATAAGGGTTTAGGGTTTAGGGTTTAGGGTTTAGGGTTTAGGGTTTAGGGGGTTTAGGGGGTTTAGGGTTTACGGTTTAGGGTTTAGGGTTTTGGGTTTTGGGTCTAGGGTTTAGGGTTTAGGATTTCTGGTTCC